TTGACAGTACCACCGATCCCATCGACGACGCCCTTGCCATGTGAAGTAGCAAAGAAATTCCAACTGAGTTTCACTTTATAAAAATTAGCAATTTCAAGTAAATTTCTAAAATGAAATCTCTGCTTAAATTGGCTAGCTGCGCCGTCGGAAAAGAAAGTAATCTCTTTAACACTTGGAAGTACAGTTTTCAAGTCATTCAAAATCATTTTCAGAGCAGAATCAACAACAAACTTATCATGAGAAATATCATTGGAAGGCAAAGCGTACGAAAAACATTCACTTTCAGCCCAAACATATGCAGTGAATATACTCAACGTTTTAGTAGACCAATGTGCGGACTGGATTTCATCATTTTCTTTCATGCCATAGTTTTCTGCGAAATCGACTTGAATACAAACTTTTTCATCACTCACTTCCAATTTTAATTTTTCAAAATACTTCGACTGCTGACGCTTTACGTAAACATGAAACAAAAAATGAGCAACTTTGGAATTCAACAAGCTAACAATTTCTTTCACAGTTCCGGAAAACTCCTTTTTTTCCGCACGACCATTTTCATTCGTCCATTGACAATAATTTACTTTAGCAGATTTATCTGTGATCTCATCTTCGATATTTTCTTTGAAATTCCCTGTACACAATGGACACTGACCGAACATACATTCCTCGCTTTCCGTCGAACAAACTAAGGAATCGCTTAAATTTTGCAGAGATGAACACGCTCTGCCACCTACGTATTTTTCCAACAGTTTTATCAACAAATAAACATTTTCATGATGTTGACACAAGCAATTACGATGAGCTAAGGCAGCTTTTGGAACAACAAAACCAGGTTTTAACAAAGCAAAAGCCGTACCTCCAATATCAACACCTACATTTTCTAACATAAACAATCCATGTGTTTCACGTATACTAGCAATCAAAACACGTTTCTGATGAGTTGATTTCCCTCCGTATTCATCTCTCACAACAATTGTATCACGTTTTCCAGGTAATTGATAGGAAATGTCATCACGAACATAAAACTTATAAACACTCTGTTTTAATTTGTCAGCAAGCTGGACCTGAGTACGTTGATAAGTAGGTTTTGGAACGATTGATGGAATGATTGACGACTTTTAAATGAACTAGCTGGAAGTTTAGAAGTCGAACGTTTTACCTTATTCTCACGATATAATTTCTGACGATTTCTACTATTAATACGAAATTTTTCCAACGCCGCGCCTTTTAACTTTGTTTTTACAGAGTTATTAAGAACACGAGCTTTCGCTTTAACAATATTGTGCTTAACCTTATCCTTCTTTAATTTCTTTCGATACTTTTTTACTCTCTCGGCGCCACTCATAGCCATTCTGAATAATAAACAAGCAGGACTTACCTTCAGCTGTGAGATAGATAACAATTAGAATAGTGAAATTTGTTTTATTTACAAAAAAAAGTGACGTCGTTTAAGATGGAAGCAATACTTTTGTGCGACGCATCATTCTTTTATTTACAGTTCTCTGCAAAACAAAGTGAGTGAATGAGAACGACACATTTTATCGTTTCTGTCACTAGATAGAATTTTCTTTTTCTTCTTACTTTCTCCCTCGCCTGTCAGCCTAACGTGTGACACGAAAGCAAAAGAGAGATTGTGTTTTCTTATGCCACAGAAAGGTGCGAAAGATCAGTTTCCAGCAGAAATAGAGTGAAAATGTCGCGAACCGCGGCTTTAATGAAAGATTCGAAGCCCGAGTTAAATATGCGAATCTCGTTTCGGTCTAGGTAGTTCACATTAAACGAATAGTTGTGTTTCGCTCGCATTCCCTGAAATCTCAGAGTAATAATCAGATGAACAAGAACGCACCAACTATTAACTTTTCGTTACAGTGTAACGGCTATCTCGTCCTAGATATTTGTTTTTTCGAGGAAAAAAGTAGTCCATTAGAATCGTCTTGAAAAGTTACGTCTAGTGCGCTACTTTATTTCTTAAAAATCTGCAGGAGAAAGATAGGATTTTTAAAATGAGCACTTTTCGTTACGCTGTAACGCTAAGAATTATTAAGTATTGAATTAGATATAACTCAACAACGAAAGCTGCTAAAGACTTGATCTTTGCGCCAAAAGATAGGCCGAGGTCGATAGTACCTAGTCCATGTCTAAACTTACCCAAAAGAGGCTTTTTGTACGGCTCATATTTCTGAAGAAAACTACCTCTGAAAAACGAGAATTGTCGTACCGCGCCTGCAGTATTTTGTAAATTATTTCCAGCCTTCCAGACTAATTTAACTCGAGAAAAAGATCGATTTTCCTACACTATCAACTACGCTCTACAATCTGGCTTAATTTGTTTTCCTGGATTTTGACAAAAACACTTCCGCAACGAAGTAGCGCGTTACGCGAACAAGCCGCCTAGCCCTCCCCTAGATACGCCACTATTTTCTATTTCCTCAGCTAAACTGGTTTTACTCGGTTAGTTTTGAACTGATGATTCATATTTTTCTCTTTTTCTGCCACGTGGACAAAGAGATTGTTGAATAATGTCATAGAAATTACTCAGATCTATTAACCCAGAACGGTGATGATATAGTTTAACGTAGCTCGTGTTTCAAAACTGACACTTGCTAACCTTTTACTTGCGTCATTTTTTATTTCTACTTTATACAACGGAGCAGGCTCAGATGATTATGTGGCCTATAAATTATTATAGAAAAACCAGGAAAGATTTTTTATTTACTTGACATCCTGTCTGGTAGAGAAAGTTTTATTGAGGACTAGAACTGAATTTTAAAAAGGAAAAGAGTTTTAGTTTAAGTTTTTTGAAACATTATACTAGTTTTATTTCCTCGACGAATAAAGTGGAATCAAACGAACGAAAGGTTATGAGTATGTTCAAAAAGAAACAGTTTGAGAATTGTATGGAAAGCTAAATCGTACTTAGGATCAATAGTTAAATCTGCACCGTGAATTGGAAAATAAGCTTTTTAAAAAAAAGAATTTTCTAAAAGTGCCCGCGTGCATTTTGCTCGCGATATTTTATTTATTTTGAAAATTAAAGCATTTTCTAGAAAAACTTGCTAATGCGTATAGACAGACTTGAAGAAAATAAAAAAATGAAACCTGTTTTCTAGAAATTAGGAAATCGTCTAAAATAATAGATTAATTTCTAAAATTGCCTTCGTTTTTCTGAATTCGTTAAATTCAAATCAAAAATTTAAAATTGTAATTCGATATTAATATTTTAGCTAATTGATTTTGAAATATTTGAAGAATTATTTAAAACTGGCAGTGGTTTACCTGTGAACAATGCTGGAAATATAAGTCCACATTTAAAACCAAAATTTATCAAAATATCCGAAAGTTTAACATTATTAGATCCACAAGGACAAAGAAATCTAGGTATTTTCCTTTTAAAAAACCAAAATTTCCCAGATGACTAGAAGATGTTTTTTAAAAAGAAAAAACGACGAACTGATTCATTCATTTTTAGCTACTGCTCGTCGAAAATTAGATCTTGATGTAAATACGATAATGCGCGCTTTAAACAAGTAAATCTCGATTAATTAGCTATTAAAAATTCAAATATATCAATGTTGATAAATCATTTTAGTCTTGATCTTAAAATATTAACCATCGATACAATTGATATATTACAACATTTTATTCCTACAGAATCTGAAGTAAGATATAAAATCAAAAAATTCAAACGAATATAGAAACATTTACATTTAATTTAGACAAAATCTTTTAATTCATATTTGTCTGATGGAAAAATTATGAATAATTTATCGGATGAAGATTGCTTTTTATTTGGTGTAAGAAATTTGTCTTAGATTAATTTTTTAATTTTATTTTAAAATTTATATTCTTTCGCTTTGTTTAGCTATCAAAAATTGAACGTTTACCACAGAAATTAAATGTTGTTTCATTTATGGCAAATTTTGATGATATTAATGAAAATTTAGCACCCGGTATATAATTTTATTAAATTTTTTTTATTTATTTATTTATTTAATGTTTCATATCTTTTAGAAATTGAAAGCACTAATTAATTCATCGTTGGCGTTGAAAAATAGTACAAGATTTAAAAAATTACTTGAAGTATAAATTCAAATTTTGAGTAAATGAACGATAGAATTCATGTTTATATTTCTATTATTCATTTAGATTATTTTGGCCTTCGGCAATTATATGAACAGTAGTAAACGAGGGCCGGTGTATGGATTTAAATTAAACAGTTTAGAAATTGTACGTTAAGATTTAAACTCTTAATTATAAATAATTTTTAATATTGTTTTATAGTTATCTGATACTCGAACACACGATAAACGTTTAACACTTCTACATTATATTGTACAAACAATTCAAGAACGTTCTCCAGATGTTGCCAATTTTGATTCGGATTTGAAAATAGTTGAAAAAGCAGCACAAGGTAGATATTCATTGTTGTTGTTTTTTATTTAGATTTCTTTTTCTAATTTTTATTATCTCATCTTTGTCTATAGTTTCGTTGGAAAATATTCAAACTGATGTGCAAGATTTAACACGTGGCTTAGATTTGACCAAGAAAGAACCAGCCATACGTCAAACAATGAAGGTAATTTTAAATTATGTCTAAGTAAAATGGTGTACATACATTTCTATATTTTTTTATTTTAGAATGTTGAAATTCGTCCACTAGAAGATTTTTTATTTTTAACGCAAGATAAAGTTGATCGTTTAACGAAAGATGCCAAAAATGCACAAGAAACATTTTCACAATGTGTCGAATATTTCGGTAATTTTAAAACCTAAAATTCAAATGATAATTATGTTTTGTACACATTTATTTTAGGTGAAACACCGCGTAGTCAAACACCATCAAACTTCTCTGTATTTGTCAAGTTTCAACGTGCCTTTCAAGTACGATGAAATAAATATGAATATTTCTGTGTATTTTGATGATCTTGTCTATTTCATTTTATTATTGCAAGCACGAATTGATAATGATGAACGTAATCGTTTAGCTCGTAAAGCAGCTGCTACTCTCGAACGTCCCGTAAATACAAAACAAACATTGAATAAATGTTCACAGGTATGAAGTTCATCCAATGTCTGTCATTTCTTTTTATAATCATTTATCTTTTGTCCAATTGAAAAACGGTCTTCCTCTACAGGTAAAACTTGATGCTTTCATCTGTTGAGTTACTGTTTTAATTTATTATTTTGTTTTGTGCATATTGTACTGAAAATGCATAAATCAATATATATACTAACAGACTGATATTTTTGCTTGGAAAGATGTTCCCAAATTGTCGTTAGTCGTGTACAAGAAACATTGCGTGCGCCAAGTCTACTAGTACATTTACGATATTAAACTCGCATAATTGGCCCAGTTGATAACATTATGTAAAAGTACGGTGTCAAGAGATTCTGACTACTCCTTGTTATCAACTGGTTAGCAGAGCAGCTCACAAAGAATTTTCTCAGTTATTTCGTTAAACAATTTCTCTTTAACTCAATTCAATTTTATTTAGTATACAATGGAATTAGAACATGACATAAAAACTATACGTTAACATAGTAACATCTTTTTACAGAAGTGAACACAGAAAAATAAAAGAAAAAAAAGATCAAACCTTCAGAAAGAAAATTCATAACAAAACTATCAACACTACAGTTTTATATGCTTTGGAGCGCTTTTTAAAAACATTCAACAGAAGAAGATGCAATAGAATTCCTATTAGCTCAAGTTTGAGTTAGAAACGTAGATGGTAAATTATTTCGTGTTTGCTACCGACATTTATTCTTTTTCTTTGAACAGTTGGCGTGTACAATAGTTGGGATGGTTACGTTTAAGAACACTTCTGGCTGCAAGCTTTTCTAACGTCAGAAGAGGAGTTAAATGTGTTTTTTTACTATTATCGTACACACTACATTCTTAGTCGATAACAAGCAAAAGAAATGACAGACATTGGATGAACTTCATACCTGTGAACATTTATTCAATGTTTGTTTTGTATTTACGGGACGTTCGAGAGTAGCAGCTGCTTTACGAGCTAAACGATTACGTTCATCATTATNAGCAAAAGAAAATGCAGCTAATAGGGCGTCACTACGAAAATTCGTCTTAGCGAACCTAACATTTGTTGAATCCTGCACATAAAACAGAATATGATGTTTTTCTTTTAAATTGTTCGAAAGATGTACACCTAATAATCTAACGTTCTCCTCACAAGAATGACTAAACCTATCCAACGTTAAATTTCTAAGATGTTTTTTTAAAGTTTTTGGAGAAAGGAAGAAAAGCACACTTTTTAAAATTAAGCCCAGTGATCACTAGATCGACGATTTCTGAAAGATCTGACCGAATCCAACATTAGAATCCGACCGGAACCATGCCGGATTATGTCGCGGGGAATCCGTGTCGGAAGATGTCAGAAATCCTTCGAGTTCCAGAGATCGTATTTCGCTGGATTTGGCAGAGTGTGCCC